TAAATATATAGGGCAATAGCATTTTAACAAAATATTTTCTATGTAGCGGAAGTAAATTTATATTTCTGATTAGAAAAAAATCACTATATGTAAGAATGATAATTATTTGCACAAAATTGATTCAGCTTATTAAAATGGAGAATAAAAATAAAATCAACACTATAAACAGTATACAAGTTTGCGTACTAATATCAATTTCCAAGATTTCTCTCAATCAAAGATAATTATTGTTTTATACATTTTGTATATGTGGTACTGGCTTTTCTTGTTTAACATGAGACTCTCAGATATTTCATTAATTATAATACACAAAGTTATATACTAACTTACAACTTCTGAGTAATCAGTATACTGAAACTCGGTCTGAACTGCTGAATTGATCATACATTTAGTTCGTTCATCCACCTGAAAAAAATAAATAAAAATGGACAATGAGCAAATTCTGTCTATGATACAGTATACTGATGATGATAGGTGATTTACTATAAAGTTCACATATATGTTATTGTAAATATGTACAATATATTGAATAGAAACCATAATACAATAGATACTATTTGTTTTTTAGATACAGTGCAATTTCTTTGTTTTTTGCATCATCCATAGACCATTTTTGCATAGAAAAAACCATACCCTCTTCAGTTATAGTATCATTTGTGAAATGGATTCTTATGTTGTACTGTAACACCACTGTCCCAGGTTAGGAGGAGGTTTGGGATTCCCCTAACATGTTTTACCCCATCACATTCTGTATGTATGTGCCTATCCTAAGTCAGGAGCCTGTTATTCAGTGGTTGTCCTTTATTGATGTGTTACATATTTGTTTTTGGTTCATTTTTTTTTACATAAATTAGGCCGTTAGTTTTCTCTGTTAAATTGTATTACATTTGTCATTTTGGGGCCTTTTATAGCTGACTATGCGGTATGGGCTTTGTTCATTGTTGAAGGCCGTACAGTGACCTATTGTTGTTAATTTCTGTGTCATTTGATATCTTGTGGAGAATCGTCTCATCAGCAATCATACCACATCTTCTTTTTTATATAGACTCTCCAATATAATATAAATTTTTCAAGGCTTCTCGACTCAGGGAATGTAGTAAAATGAGCCTATATCCTGGCATGTAAAGACTTTGTATGACATATGTTACTAAACACATGCTGAACCTTTTGTGAAGATACAAGGATTACTTTTAAACAAGATATTATTATTACCTCATTTCCCTCTTCAAGTACTGCATCATTGACATCTATTCTTATTTTCTTCAGACACAAAGTACAACATGCTGGAAAAAAAGATAGCTTTAATTTATAAAACTATAGTAAATAAAGGCAACAGTAGTATACCGCTGTTCGAAAACTCATAAACCGATAGAGATAAAAGCAAATCCGGGTTACAAACTAAAACTGAGGAAAACGCATCAAATATAAGAGGAGAACAACGACACAACATAAACACAACATTAAAATGTAACACACACAGAAACAAACTATAATATAACAATGGCCATTTTCCTGACTTGGTACAGGACATTTTAAGGAAAAAATGGTGGGTTGAACCTGGTTTTGTGGCATGCCAAACCTCCCGCTTTTATGGCAACGTCAAACACAACACCAAAACGACAACATCACATGACAGGACCACAATACAAATAAATGGGAGAACATATAGGACAAAGAAACACACGAATAATAGCTAACAAAAGGTACTAGGCTTAAAATTCGATACGTCAGACGTGCGTCTCGTCCACACAAGACCAACCAGTGACGCTCAGATGAAAAAAGTTTGAAAGCCAAAACATAGTAAAACATTGATTGAAACTAGTTTTGTTTTAATCTATACATGTATTGTTGTTCCAAATTTATTAATATGACATACAAATTGTACATTTGTTAAAGTGAAAGATACCAAAACTTTACACTATTACATATTGTCAAATAGATATTCAATGTAGGACTCATCTATTTGCTATCAATAATGAATTACACAATTTTTTCTAGAATATTTGTTTTCAATTTCATTTTTTGGGGGAAGCTGGTTATTAACAGCTCCAAAACCTTTTTAAAAGATACTCCCTATTTAGCATGTTAAAAAGACATCAAATCTCATGGTTGGGGGTGGGGAGGGGGATATTGAATACAAATCAAATCTTTATATACACACTGTTACCAAGGTGTTATGTAAATAGAGGTTTCAAAGTTTTGACAATTTTTCAGCTAAGTAATGTTTTGAAATAGAAATCAAATAATTGTAAAAATAATAGATATAAAACTGTGCACTAATTGTTCAATACAAATTCAGGCACCTGAGGAATGTTAATTGTCAATTTTAAAAAGAGTAACAATGATTGATACACAAGTGACATAAACGAGGGGCTTGATAGGGTTTACCAAACAAAGAATAATTAATGTAATGCCCAATTAAGATACTGAATAGAGAAAAATAAGCACATACAAAGAATAGAGAATTACAGGATGCAAAAGTAAGAAGGATAACTGGAAAATAATAAAATAATAAGGTAATACAATATAGATTAATTACAGAAATGAAGGACAAACATTAAAAAGAAAACAAATTATTACAGAAAATTTTAATTGTAAAATCATTTTCCTTAGAATTTTACAGAATAAGTGTTTGTTTTAAAGATATAGAAAAATGTGTTTAAAATTTAAATAATACAAAAATTAGAGGACCCAATCCTTACCCTCATAAAAGGGGGTGAATAAAATATCTGTTTTGAATAAAAATTAAAAGACATTGAAAGTAATCCTTTTTTTTTATTCAAAGACTTGTTTGCATTGTCTTAGTAATTCAGAATGTTTACCAAATAATCAATGATTCAAGATGAATATTTTTATAATAATGAAAATTTAAATTATGAAATATTTCATAAACTAATCAAATTTGAAAAAGGGGGAGGTCAGGTCAAGTTCTATTTTTAATATACTCACTTCTATTGACTGGTAGAGACATTCCTGTCTGGTTAATCAGATGAAAAACATCCTTTTCCTTTAGTCCTCTACTGGCTAGTTTAAAGCTTGTTCTGTTTGGTAGTGACTTGAGTCCAGAATCCTAGGTGTGGTCAATATCTGGATGAGCACTTAACAAACGCGGAATTTGGCACAACCTGCGACGTGCACATTTTGAATTGTTTTTCAAAAAATAATTAAAATGGCTGGTACAAATGGAATATTGATGAGAAAGTGCTAATGATGGTTTCAGACCATTCTCAGACAAAACAGCAAATATTTGGTCTGTACTGTGTTTTGCAAGAGGTTGAATGAGTTCATCACATTTCACAAACTTTGGAGAGAAACTGCACTCCATAGTATGTAGTATCTACCTTAAATATCCTATTTTTACCAATATTTGATGGTTTAATCAGTTTCTACATGTCGTCTGCACTATATTTTTGGCATAAAACTTTGTACTTCCTGTTGTCCCTTTATGTTTTCAATGAAGAAGAACCATAAGGGGAGATAATTCACAGAAACATAGTTGATTTTCTTACAGATTTCAATCCACATTTTTTTTCTTAAATTAAAAAACACATACCTGGATTCTTTTGTATTTTTGAATTGGGGTTTTATCTTAATGATTATGGCAATATTTTCTATAAACTATCTCGGAAATTTTTTTAAAACTTCAATCAATTTTGGTATAATTTGGTTTTCTTTCTGATGTCAAAACACCCCCTTCTCCAATAAAAAATATGCATATTTACAATATTGTCAGCCAACTGTGTGATATATTTTTAGAAAGGTAAAGATAACAGCTTTTATATGTGATGATTGTCTGCATCATTTTCTGTCAGCATGTTTGGTAAACAGGCAGGGGTTTTAATGATAAATTTTAGAATTTTCATTAAAAAAAACGGCCCAAAACAAAATGGACTCCATTTCTATAGTAACAAAGCCCAAAACCAATTTCTAAAGTTTCAGTTGTAAAGTATATTAGTAATGTAGTTTGTGTTCAGAGAATTATAAACATCTGTGACATAAGTGTAAACACTAATTTTGGTCCTTTCAGAGATTGGCTCTTAAATATTCAATCTCAATCCAAATTCAGAGCTGTTTTAAGCTTAAATGTTGTGTCAATACTTGCTCAACTGTTCAAAGTTCGACCTCTACAGGAAAATACGGTCTGCTGTCACTCGACAGCCTCTTGTTTTGTTAATGATATGATTAAACAAATGACATGCTGTTAAATTTCAGAATTAAATATAGAAAAACCTGATGATGATAAAGTGAACAAAATCCATCTTTTAATCAGCCAAAAAAATAGGCTAGATGATAGATGAGAAATAACAAATTTTCGAATTAATAATTTTTTTGTATAATATGATAAAACGTTTCTTTCTATAACTTCTTTGCATTATGTATGCACTCTTTTCAGCACGTTTGAACTAACATTCTCAACCACTATGGTTGTATTCTGTATTAAGAATGAATTATATTTCAAATAGATAAGTAATTGGCCAGTTCACACCAATCTGAGTGTTAAAAAGAAAATAGAAAAACAAAACTGATAATATAAATTAAATGAAACTGTTTTGAAAATATTATGCATCTGGCTAATTGGTTAGGGGTTAAATCCCCAAAACCAAATCAGTCTCAATCACCAATGATTGCCACTGAGACAACTCTCCACAAGAGACCAAATGACACAGAAATTAACAACTATAGGTCACCGTACGGCCTTCAACAATGCCTATGCTCTTGGCCATTCAGTTCCTGCTAAGAAAACAAATCACCAGAGACATACTGGGAGTAAGTTTTCTGCATTCAATATTTTAAGTAAAATAAAATAAGAGTGGGTTAGATGCACATTGAGACAGAAACAATAACATGTTACAACATAATTTTGAATATTATTTTAATATAAAAAAAGAAACAGTTAAATGTGGTATGATTGCCAATGAGACAAATCTTCACCAGATAAAGAAACTAATTTTAAATTATGAAAAAAAAAACAATAAAAATTTTATTTTTGTATGTTACAGCCCGTGAACATATAGATGCACAGGCTTTCCTGAAATTAAAAGAACAAGCTCGTATGAAAAAAGTTTTAGAAGATAAACTTAGTGAAAATGAAGAAGCCATCACTTCTGCTATGAACGTTTCTTATCATCTAGCAGTGAAAGATCAACCTAAAAGCCAGTTTTCTGCAACAATTGATTTATTAGACTATGCAGGGTTAGACTTGTCATCTAAACTTTGTAAAGCTAAAAATGCTACTGATGTTAGTCAGGCATCTGTAACTGAATATCAGTCATGTATTGCAGAAAGTATTATGTCATATATTGTAAATGATGTAAATAAATCAGATTTTTATTTTGTTATGGTAGATGAGAGTACTGATAGAGCAAATAACAATCCACTTCTATAATTGTACTGCCAGTACACTGAAGACACAAATATCCAAATTACATCTCAAACTCCAGATGCTAGCACAATTTACAGTGTTATGGTTTCACATTTGGCTGAGAAAGGTATAGACATCAGTTGCCTCAATGGCATTGGCACTGATGGAGCCAGTATAATGACTGGCAAGCACAACGGTGTCATTAAAAAGTTTCAGAATCAAAATTCAGAAATTTTTGGTGTTCATTGTTCAGCTCACGTTGTGCACCGGCTACATCTCAAGCTGCTCAATTTGGCCCTGATATCAAGCACTACTCAAGGGTTTTGTCAAATATTTTATATTTTTTTAGTGGTTTAGCTTAGAGAAGCAATAAGTTCAGAGAACTTCAGTTATTGTTAGAAGTTCCATAGCTGAAATATGCTGCTATTCATTATGTAAGGTGGGTAAGTCTAGATATGGCCGTTAATGTAATTTACTGCACATATCCTGCTTTATGTGCTTTAAGTTATCCTGAAAGACAAGATTCAAGACGATACAGACAAGATTACGTGTGCTTTGGTTTTGGTAAATGTTTTACTAAAAGAAGATTAAATGTCCAACGTTTAATGCTAAGTGATTTAAATGTGACAGAACAGATCACTTCAAAGAGGTGTGTGGTATTAACCAAAGTAGTTATCAGAATTCTAGGAACATGAGCAACAATAGGCAACCCCAACATTCTCAGAGAAGGAACTTTCATTCACGTCATGTTTGCATCTCCTCTGCATAGGAACATGGCCTATCAAGTCCCTGGGTCATAATTAAATTTTTATTTTTTTTTATTTTAGGGAGTTAGCCTAAGCAACGGATGGTGGTGTTGAAAACTTCGAAGGATTGATTGATTGTTGGTTGCTTAACGTCAGTGGGAAATATTTCATGCATGTTTAGGAAGAGAACAAATTAACAATAAATACGATAGGTAGGTCCGGTAAAGAGGTCAACTGTGTTGCAGGTCGGGAAAATTTGGACTGCCACGGGAAAATGAGTGTATATTGGATAGGGACAGAATTGAAGCCTTGCAACAGGCCACATACGGACCCCTCCAAGAGTTGTTGCAAGGGTTCTTTACGTGCAAAGCGCGTGACACTCTCTCTACACGAGGCATGGGATTTAACGTCCCCATTCTGACTGGACGTGGCTGCGTACTTGATACATCCCGCACAGCCAAACGGACGCCCCAGTTCGGCAAGGGTTTTACTGCCGGTCGGAAGAAGACCTGTAGTGACCATATTTCTATTTCCCAGTCACCCTTGGGGTAAAACTTCGAAGGAAGAAAGCCATAGAAGCAGTTATACCTGTTCCAATAAAACAACATCGAGTTTCAATTGATCACAGAAATGTTTTTCAAATGAGTTATCCAGCTACATCACCAGTAACTTCTTCTGCTGAATCACCAGTTAGTAAAGCACCCCATGCAGCTAGTGTAATTTCCAAGCTACCATAGTCAAACACAATTGGAATTCGTTTCAAAGTTGAAAACTATGTTTGAATATTGCAAGTGCAGGTCTTGTTATATTGAAACTTTGAATAATGTATGGAGTTTCCTGCTAAGTCAATGGTCTATTTTCTGTATATTTCAATTTTATTTTATGTTTTAGTGCTCTTCAAAATTGAAAGAACTTGGTACTTGGTCTTTAAAAATGGGCCATGAATACCCATTACAGGATGGTGGCACTTCCTGTGGTATTTATGCACTAAAGGTAGATTTTGTTCAATAGAGTTTAAAACATAAATTTTTGCTTTGAAAATGAATCTTAATGTAATGTGATTACAAAGGTAGTTGTTTAACAACAAGTCAGGGGTATATATTCCACCTGGTTTGTTTGTTCCTCCTTTTGATTAAATAAATTTTGGTTTCTAAATAACAGTTATAGAAATTCAAAATTCAAATATTTATTGCCATATAAAGTTTATCAATATTGAGTTTGTGACAAATACAAAATAAGTATACAATATAACACTTACACAAATCTTTAACAGTTTATATTGATACGTGCAAGCAGGAAAGAAAATCTGTCAAAAATATGAATGCAGATATAATCCTATTTTACTATAAAAGAGTGTTAAGCCAGTCAAACTGAAGCAAGCGTTTATTCCTGTGATAATATTAGTCATTAATATTGTATGTTCATATTCATTTGAACCTTGGTATTGGAATAAATATCTCAAATACAAATACAAATATTTATTATTTTTCAAGTCAATATTTTCTGTATATTTTAATTTTATAGTATGTTATAGTGCTCTTCAAAATTGAAAGCACTTGGCCTATACAAATGGGCCATGAATACCCATTACAGGATGATCGGACTTCCTGTGGTATTTATGCACTAAAGGAAGACTTTTTCAATCGAGTTAAAAACATATATGTATGCTTTGAAAATGAATCTTATTGTAATGTGATTATTAAGGTAGTTTTTTAACAACAAGTCAGGGGTATATATTGCACCTGTGTTTTTTTCCCTCCATTTGATTAAATTTTGGTTTCCCAATGACAGGTATTTGGCACAACTTTTTGGAATTTTGGATCCTCAATGCTCTTCAACTTTGTACTTGTTTGGCTTTATAACTATTTTGATATGAGCGTCACTGATGAGTCTTATGTAGACGAAACGCGCGTCTGGCGTACTAAATTATAATCCTGGTACCTTTGATAACTAATTATAGAACACCTAAACAAATCTTTAACAATTAAGTCTGTCTGCATGTAGGGGAGATATTAAGAAGACTTCTAGATGATTATTTTGCCAACTATTTGTGTCATATTTCATTAAACGTGTGTTTTAAGGTTCCAGACGGGAAATAGTTGTCTTAACGTCATGTCTTGAATTTACGTCTGTCTAACGTAGAGTGAACGTAAAAACCCAACGTAGTTTTAAAACGTACAGACACATTTAAAAAAAGTACGGCATTATCAAACAGTGTTCCTGTAAGTGTGATATGATAAAACTGTAAATAAGGTAAATTAAAATGACACATATTCATAACAATCGATTGATTGATTAATTGTTAGTTGCTTAACGTCCAGTGGCAAATATTTCATGCATATTCAGGACGAGAACAAATTCACAATAAATGCAATAGGTAGGTTCTGTAATAGATTAAGGGATTAAGGTCGGAGAAATTTAGACTGCCACGGGAAATGAGGGTATATTCGATAGGGACAGAAATTTACCCTTGCAACAGGTCACCTACGGACCCCTCAAAGAGTTGTTGCAAGGGTTCTTAACGTGCAAAGAGCATGGCACTCTCTTTACACGAGGCATCGGATTTAACGTCCCCATTCTGACCGGACGTGGCTGCAAATTTGTACATCCCGCACAGCCAAACGGACGCCCCACTTTAGCAGGGGTTTTACTGCCGGTCGGAGGAAGACCAATGGTGACCATACTTCTATTCCCCAGTCACCCTTGGGGGGCATAACAATCGAAAGATTTGCACTACGTTTCTAATGTAAGATTGTACTATACGGAAATGATGTAATAAAATCGTGTTGACAAATATTTCGGCTTAACAAATACCCTTCGTCGGTGTCATTATTTTTTACAATACTAATTCTATGTGTAAAATAGCTCAGTAATACCGGTAAGTTTTGGTCTATTGATTCAATCCCAAATCTTGAATATCATCAAGTAAGACAAACCTTAATACTCTATATATATCCCCAGTTGTCAAAGTGCAGTAGTATATATGTATGAATATTTGTAAAATAAAGGAAAGTGCTAGTACTTCTTATTGATGCCGTTTGCATGAAGTACACTTAGTTCCTTTAAAGAAGCTAGCTTTACTGTTGTGCTATCGTGCACTGACAGCGGCAAGAAATCACCACCTATGGTAATATGAAGAAATGCCAGTTGCTGCTGATGAAGTAGACTTGCCACTTTCCATCACATCTCTGTTTCACAGCGACATTGAGGACTCCGACTCTAAAAGATTCGACTCCAGCAGCGAGTAACTTTCAGTGAACATTATTTGAAATGTGTTAAAAAGTAAATTATCAAAAAAAAAACGAACTCTAAGGAAAATTCAAATCGGAAAGTCCATACTCAAATTGCGAAATCAAAAGCTCAAACACTTTAAATTTGAAGTATTTTATTACGGTACAGTGCTTTATATTGTTTCTTCGAACTCTTAAAGTGCCTATATGCTTTAATATCTTGTCTGTCTTTAGTTTAGTGCTTTGTTCTATCTTATAGTTAGGAATATTTATTTTGTCAGTGATCGAGATAATAAATGATTGATTGTTGGTTGCTTAACGTCCAGTGGCAAATATTTCATGCATGTTCAGGACGAGAACAAATTAACAATAAATACAATAGGTAGGTCCGGAAAAAGAGGTCAACTGGGTTGCAGGTCGGGAAAATTTGGACTGCCACGGGAAATGAGGGTATATTGGATAGGGACAGAAATTTAGCCATGCAACAGGCCACCTACGGACCCCTCAAAAGAGTTGTTGCAATGGTTCTTAACGTGCAGAGAGCGTGACACTCTCTCTAAACGAGGCATCGGATTTAACGTCCCCATTCTGACCGGACGTTATCATCCCGCACAGCCAAACGGACGCCCCACCTTGGCAAGGGTTTTACTGCGTACTTGATACATCCCGCACAGCCCAACGGACGCCCCACCTTGGCAAGGGTTTTACTGCGTACTTGATACATCCCGCACAGCCAAACGGACGCCCCACCTTGGCAAGGGTTTTACTGCCGGTCGGAGGAAGACCAATGGTAACCATACTTCTATTCCCCAGTCACCCTTAGGGGTAACTTAAGTTAGAGAACGAAAACGAAAAATTCAGCAATCTTTCCATTTGTAAAGGGGCATAACTCTAGAACAGTAAAAGTGACACAACCAAAAATCAAACTTTATCTGTATTTTGTTGTAATAAGCATTGTGTATAAGTTTCATAATATTTGGTTGAGGCTAACTTAAAGGGATATTCAGCAAAAAAATGAAAAATTGATATTTGTTCTTTAAGCATAAAA